CACCTTTACTTTTGTAAGAATTAGGAAAGGTTCTGTTTGAGATACTTGCATTACATTTCTGTCCTGCACATAGGTCTTTTTGGGTTGTGGCTCTTCCTCTTGTTCCTCAAGGTTATTCCTTCTGCTCATGACATTAGCAAACTCAGTTTGGTAATCACGCAGGCACCACTTGGCCACTTCCCCCTTTATAGAGTGTTTTCAAAAGGAAGGAAGAAAATGCCATATATTAGCTACCTCACTATCTGCTACTCAGTTTGGTCAACCAGTTGGATTGGGCCTAAGCAGTGATGGGATTCAATTTTTTTTACTACTGGTTCTGGGGGTGTGGCTTGGTGGGCGTGGCTTGATAGGTGTGGCAGGGGAAGGATATTGTAAAATCTCTATTCCCTCCTTACTCCAGGGGGAGGTTACTGCAAAATCCCCATTCCCTCCCAATCAGCTGAGACTCGGGAGGCAGAGAATAGATGGGGGTGGGGCCAGCCAGAGATGGTATTTATCGCTTCTCTGAACTACTCCAAATTTCTGCTACCAGTTCTCCAGAACTGGTCAGAACCTGCTGAATACCACCTCTGGGCCTAAGGTTCAGCCTTGGCAATGGCCGCTGGCAGCAGGAAGGGAATGGATATCCAAAATGGTTGGTAAATAATCTTGCTTTTTCTCTGTACAGGGAAACCATCGGCGGAACCATTCCCAATATAGCTTCGACGCCTGGTTAAGAGAATATTCTGTGCCATCGCCTCCCAATGGCTCCATCACAGACGATGCTGAATTACTGCATGTATGTTACAACTATACAGGAGTATAATGGTTAGGGGCAATCTGATTAGGGGCAGAGACATCTCGGGTTATATTGGATCTCATCAATTTAGTCTGCCTTATGGAATAAGGTAGGCCTCAACTTACAACAGTTCGTTTAGTGACTGTTCAAAGTTACAGCGGCACTGAGAAAAATGGCTTATCACCATTTTTCAGACTTAAGACCGCTGCAGCATCCCCATGGTCAAATGATCAAAATTCAGGACCTTGGCAACTGACTCATATTTATGAAGGTTGCAGTATGCTGGGATCACATATTTACCTTTTGCAGTCTTTCGACAAACAAAGTCAATAGGGAAGTCAGATTCACTTAACAATCGTGTTACTCTCTTAACATCTGTAGTGATTCACCTAATAACTATGGCAAGAAAGGTCATAAAATGAGGCCATACAAATATTTCTGTATGGCCAGAAAACAGAAATTTTGAGCTCAATTGTGGTCGTAAGTTGAGGGCTACCTGTAGATGTGAAGACATTTGCACTACCATTTCACGTTCCTGGGATGAGTGGTATGTATGTGTATGTATGTATGTATGTATGTATGTNATTTTTGTAACCATTTTCTCAGGCTAATGTACTTCTTGATGGAGTTGGGAGAGTGGAAAGAAAGAAAAAAGTGTTATGTTGTAGAATGGAAGTGTTATCAAAGTGAGGGTGTGTGTGGCTATCACTGTGAAGAACAGGGGTCAACTCATTTCTGGGTTGCATGTAAAATAGGACAGGTGCTTACCTAGGTAAGGAAGTTACAGTTCCGTTCTGTAATTCAGAAACCCAGCTAGGTAGCATTAGACTCTTGAAAGAATGATAGGCACATATCTTGCTTTGCGTACTGTGTTTTGAAATGATTCAACATTGCTGCCATTGGGAGGAATATTCTGGAGTGGACTTGACAGCATTATCGCTGGGGTGGGGGATATTCCCAGTCTGTAAATCAAGCCCTGAGATGGCTCAGCTATTGACAGACACTTGTCACTAATATATCTCTTCTAGAGACTTCCTTTGGAGTTTGATTGCTCTCTGGTACTTTAAGCCAGAATTCCATTTTGGGCCACCAGCCAGATGCCTGAGAAATTTCTGTAATGAGAAATCATTGTGAGCTATGTCCAAACAGAGGGCATGTGGTTGCCAGTTAGTCTGTACAGTAAACCCCTTCCCATCCCCCTTGTCACGTCCCCAATGCACCTAAAAGCTCTGCCTACATCATCAGCTGTGGGTCAGCATTGAAGGAATTGAGGCCCACGTTTGAAAGAAATAGGTGGTTGTGGATCAGATTGGTGAGAGCCAGAACAAGGAAGGGTAGCCATAGTTGGGCTCATGCCTGACTCATGTCTGTTTTATCTTCTCTCCCTCTCCTTCTCTCCCTCCCCTTTTCTGTGTTTTTGTTTTGCCAGAGCTTGGTGCAGATAGAGGGAAATGATCTCTCAGCTCCAGCAGATCCTACTCAAGCAGCCAACCTGGACCAAACAGAAGACAGGGTGAGCGCGGAGCAGCCTGGGGCTCAAAGTCTCCACAAAAAGCTGGGATATACCAGATCCTTGATGTTGCCAGAGACATTGCCTCACAAGGTAAGGCACGGCCATGAGGGGATCGACTGGGATGGCAGGTTTTGGAGAGCAAAACAGATGGCTTTGCTCAAAAGGTTTGCAGAATGGAAGGGTTAATCTAGATCCAACTGGGGTGAAAGCAGAGGTGCTTGTGAAGGAGAGGGCAGTACAGCAGTAGTGCATGTAGGTGTGTAATTTTAAATACTGGAGTTAGAGTCCTATACTTTAAATAGCAATAGCAATATCACTCATATGCCGCTTCACAGTGTTTCACAGCCCTCTCTAAGTGTTTTACAGAGTCAGCCTATTGCCCCTAACAATCTAAGTCCTCATTTTACCCACCTCGGAAGGATGGAAGGCTGAGTCAACCTTGAAGCTACATATAGTGTACTACACAAGAGAGGGAGGGAGAGAAGGTGGGGATGGAGGGAGGGAAGGAGGGACTGTCTATCAGCCCTTCCAAGTAGACCAGATTAGCAAAACCAAAGTTTTGAATGTAATACTACTTTTGTTATAACATTACAGTAATAGAATCTTGCAAATCTGAATATTTTGTCTCCCCCCCCCCCCGCCCCGCCTGGCCCCACCTTTACTTTTGTAAGAATTAGGAAAGGTTCTGTTTGA